ACGTCTTTACATAGCTTCTATTAGATGCTCATTAATGTGTATATCCTTGCTGCAACTGACAGGTATGATGGCATGTATAGCAAGTTCAATTTTCTTTCCCAGAATGCCTCAAATGCTTCAAGCACTTGTAAACAAGCAAGCCCCTACCCTATATAAATGTAAACCATCCATTTAAAAATAAAATCCCTTTTCCCACTGAACTGATGCACAAATCCAACCAGCCAACCTGCTCATCCTTAAATTTAACTTAAGTCTAGCGTTCAGCCCAAATGACATACTTATAATTTCATTCCCACAATTAAGTCTTGGCAGCACATCTGACAGAAGTAAGCTATTATGGCCCCTTTTTTATGCATTTATTAATAACCTCCTCTAATCTACCCTTTCCTACATTATTAGCCCCCTGTGCATTAAAAAGACTGCATCACTGTTTGCACTCTTTAGTATATCATTTGCTCTGTTGGTTATAACCCCAGCCCCTGGATGGTATAATATAATTCTTTTCTCCCTATTTATTCTACAGACTCTCATCCAATTTCCATACTAATGAATCTCCAATAACAATAACCTCCTTATGTTTTTCATTCCTATCCCTATCTCACTCTTTTTTATCCTTCTCTTCTCTAGTTCATCACCTGTACAAGCTATAAAATCATACTGCCTGCTTAACTGAAGCTAGAAAACTCTGATTTTGAAAGTTCAGAATTCAGATATGTCATGTAACATATATAATTAAGATAGAGAACCTTTTGAATATGTCTTTATGTAAGTAAAAGTTAAAGCTAGATAATATAAACCTTTGAATTATAAGCTATATTTTCATTCCAAGTTTTTGATATACATTTGCTAATAACGTTGTTTGATTAAATTTTGAATGGAGCTTTAAAATGTCATGGCATACACAAAACAGCCAGACCCAGATGTAAAGGTTTGATAAATAGTTCACTGTTAATAAATTTGTTTATCGCAATATCTAATGTTTCCATGACAGGTGACATGAAACATAAAAAATGGGCACTGCCAATACTTTAGTTTTGAAGATTTTGCTATAATCAGTTTCCTAACTAAGGTGAATGAAAATACTGTTTCTTACTCTACGTTATGACGTTGATGAAGCATGCTTTATCAACATGATACTAACATGTATGGGGCTTTAGCTTTCTTATCTACTTATAATAGATATGGTATCAGTCGCTTAAAGTACAAAATTTTGTATGATAATTAAGGCACAGGTTTTAATAGAGAAATGTATTTTTAATGAATTAATATAGTGGGAAGAAAAGATTAAATGGTGCTTTTAGTGCAGACTGCTTGCGGTGTTAATATTTGGTTACATAGCTGTTAGAAGTAAACATTGCCTGTTGAGGTACTGTCCAACAAAACTTTTAATTATACACAATACATAACAGGCATAGGAAATGTTAGTAGGAATAAAATTGACAGTAAATGAAAAAAAGCACACACAAGTGAATGAAGAAACAGGATTTTTATTTGAATAATGAATGTTTTGTAATACTTAATTACCTGCTGCAGACTTCTGTTCTATTACTTCTGACTGCTGAGGTAGAGAGAGAGAAATGTTGCACATCTGCTAGGACAGTGACAAACATCAAGATAATGTTATATCACACTATTAAGTCAGAAGAAATTTCCTGTGGTGATATCCCACAATCTTACATTATCTATGTCAACTATCAGTCTCTGTAACACCCTTCGATATGAGTATAGCATCACTCCAGAAGAGCATAACACAGAAATGCAATTAATTAAGCATAAGCCCTATAGAACAATTATTGTAGAACAGTATGTAACCTTTGTCTAAGTAAGAGAATTAAGACAAATTTATGAATCTTCTACATCATGTTTACAAGGACATCATTTAACTACATGCAGAACAACTGAAAACGTAGAAATACCAATTAAAGCAGAAACATATTAACAAAGTAAATCATGTTTAATGAAATTAACTAAAAGTTATAAATAAAAATAAAAGAACCCTTTTTTTGGACTGGAGGGCTATCACTGTTACCCCCCTGAGAGTCTGTTTAACAGTGAAGGGTGTTCAAAAAGTTTGTGGCCTGACCTATAAAGAAAAGAGACACTGGTTAAACTATGGCTTATTTTTCAACATAATTTCACCCTGTGTGCCAGTGGTGCTCTAAGTCCTCCATGAAAGAATTCTTCCTCGTGGTCCTCAATACATGACTGGACGGTGTGTACAAGAACATCATCACTCTGAAATATTCATCCTTTCAGAAAGATTTTAAGGTTAAGGAAGAGAAAAACGTCACATGGAGGTAAATCTGAATAATGAGTAATTCGAAGCTAGCATCATGGAGAGTATTCAAAGCAACAAGTCAGCTGAGGCATTGTCCTGATGAAAGAGCATACATTTTTTTGAGCAATCCTCTTCTCTTTCCTTTGATTTCTTGATGTAAGTTATTGATTAAGGATGCATAGTAATTTCCTGTAATGGTTTGACTCCTTTCCAAATAATCAACTAATAAAATGCCCTGGACATCCCAAAAAATTGATGCCATGACTTTCTCAGCAGAGAGTTGTGACTTGAACTTCTTTGGGGTGGGTAAAATTTGGTTTTTCCATTCCAAACTGTATTTTTGTTTCTGGGCCAAAGTGGTAAACCCATGTGTCATCCATAGTTATGAAACTATTGAAACCTTTGGAGTAGGCATTTGTTTTCAACAACCTGGATCCATTTTTGCCCAAGTGACAACATTTTTGGAACCTATCTGGCACTAACCTTACTCATGCTCAAACTATTACTTAAAATACTTGCTACAGTACTTTTACCAATTCACACTTTCTCTGCTAACTTCCTCATGGTAACTCTTTTATCATATATAACCAGTTCATGAACTTTATCAACAATTTCTATTATGCTCAATGTCAAAAGCATGGGATGCCATTTTTTTTCAGTCATTTATTTTATGATCAACAGACCATCCAACACTACTTATCTGGTGAACCTAAGATTAACATACACCATTGTCCTTGAGTCCACGTGTTGCAGGCAACAACTTGCCAGAATTGCTTTGAGACATAATCTAAATCTTCTTAAGCAGTTCCTTTTGTTAATCAATTTTACCACACTATATCTGAACTGCAGTCATTATTTCTTTAGCTTTTTTATATTGTCATCACTATGTTATTTAAATTTTGTGTTTCTTTCATGCATAACATTTTTTTCTTGTGAATTATATTCTTTCCTAACATCATGCAGCAGTTTGTCTTTAATGGACAGACTTGTTTCAAAAAGAGCATTTGTTAAAAAAATTGCTAAGAAATTAAAAATATAACTAAAAATTGTTAAAGGTGATTTATCCCAAAATTGAATTTTTCTTATCACCACTGCATTTTTGTTTTTCATTTCCTAAGCAAGAGTTATGTTTCTGTATTTTTTAATTTTGCTTCACAAACATGTTTTAGGTGTAAGATACTACTAAAACTGATATTTAGGGAACTTGAAAGCCTAGGAATTTTGACAGTCTGAAGGTTATGCTTTGTGGCTTGATCTTCATTCTTGCTAATGATATTAGAAATGTTAACAATCCATGACAATGGATAGTACTAATGAACAAAACAGCTGAATTAGCTGCTGTATTGTGGTTTCCAAATTATTTTTTGTCCACCTATAAGAATTAAAATTGTTTGTGTGATGTAAATCTTAATTTATCTGTCTGAATTTCCATTCTCGAGATTGGGACAAAGGCTAAAGTAAGTTGTCTACATGCTCCACTTGAGATTTTTTTGGATCTACAAAATTATTTTACTCATTGCTTGCTTACCTTCATACATTTATGAATGTTAATGATCATGGACTACCTACTATTCATTATTTTTTTTTACTTGTTCAGAATCTTTGTTTTTTCACAGAGACAGAGATATTTTTGATGTCCTAAGTATTACTAACAAGTCATTCTGATTACTGCAAGTAGAGTCACAGACTCCTTTCAAGTTCTAGTAATTAGTATAAAATAGATATGACTTCCATGAGCAAAGCAAGAAACAACTCCAATAAAGCTTTCCAGGTGTATAGAATTTAATTATTTGTCTAGGAAAAGTAGGTGCTCAGGAAGTTGCTTACACTGCTGATGGGGAAAGAGATATGACCCTTTACAATTTTTAATGCAAAGTTGAGTTGTGTTTTATTACTGGATAGGTTTTGTGAACAATAGTTAGAATTGATTTACTTGAATGACACTTTTGCAGTAAGAAAACAAAAAATAGACACACAAGTGTGTGCTTTTCTATAGTACTTTGTATGTAGAACTCCTGTTTGATTCATACGTGCAAGCTAGATATGTGGAGTATTCATGTATTGATAAAAGGTTAGAAATAGTTAATGTTTTGAGGTAATTAAATAATTTATTATAAATTTGTTTACTTCATGGTATGATGACTTTTGCTTATCATAGTATTTAATACTAGTCAAACGTACTAAAATGATTCAGACTTATATCTTGGTAACTACGTGCTGATAGATTTGAACTTAACAATATTTTACATTTGCATTAATTTCACTTGGAATATTAAACTCTCTTCTGCTGATAAGATCCTCAAAATTTATATGAAATACATCATAATACATTACGTTAAATGTGTGTGTGTCAAAGCTCTTGATTTTGAATATTGAAAAATTGAGAAAGAAAAGTTTACTTTTGCTTCCATACAAAACTGCAATATTCATAAAGAAGTAAAAAAATTAGTTTATTCTGTATTTTGCATCTTTATCATTTGTAGTTAATCAGAACATAAGAAAATTAATATTAAAATATTAGTTATCCAAAACCCATCATATTGATGCTATTTACAGTCTTCTGTTAATGTCACCCAGAAAAATCCATGTTAGATCAACAAGTGGTTTAATGTACTCCCATTTTTGTTATAGAAAAAGTGTTAATGATTTTTGTGGCAAGTTGCTGTAATTTGTTTTTTGTATTTATCAGCTTTTTTCTGTCTTTGCTTTTTCTTTTGAACAGACACTGTGGTATGACAAACTTTTTGACTCAGAAACTTAGCTGGAATCTGGTGAATAGATTCCCACATAACAACTTCTTTTGGCAGGGAATAGATGGTAGCACTGTATTAACCCACCTTCCACCTGGAGATTCATATGAAATGAAAGTAACTGTTGAAGAAGAAAAGATTTACAGACAAAGAAAACAATATTATGCAAGCCATACAAAAAGTTCACAAACACTTTTGACAATTCAACATACATCACAACCACAACAGTAAATAATACATACAGAAGCTATTCAGATTTTTATTTGTAGCCAAAGAACTTTTTTATAAACTGAATTGAAATTTATTATACAGATCAAATACAAACATTTGCAAATTCCAGTTTATTCCTTAAATAAGAGTGATAGAACTTAGAAACCTGTGCCAAATGATCAGCTTTATTAAAATAATGTATCTTGAATAGCTAAAAAATTTCTGATTATTTGAATTTAAATTGATGTACTTACAGGCTATTGTTGTCCTGCAGTCTTGACTGGATTCTTACCATTTTACATGACAAATTTATGATGATTATCTTAACTTTTATCCTCCTAGTCAAACCAAGAATGCCTACCAAAACTTTATGGATAAACAATCCATCTGGGAGATTGTGAAGGTAACAGTTACACGTGATAACTTGTTATTCAAATCCACTTACCCTGGTTTTAGCTACACAATAGCCTGGACCCCCCCCCCCACCACACGCACACACACATACATACACACACTATACCAGTCAAAGTGTCTCATATTCAATTCATTCTTTAATGAAATGGAGAAATGTAAAAATCCGCTAGCCTGAAATTTGAGTTTAGGTTACAGTGAATTCCTTATGTAACTAGCCTACATGAAATGTGTGCATGTGTGTAAAATCCAACTCTTATATTTAATTATTAAAATGTAAAGAATGTTATTTGTTGTGATTTTGTTGTATATATATTTTTGTATATTCTTTATGAAATTATTATTTTTGGGGTGTCAGGAATACCATTCTATCACATATCAATACTAATTAACCTGCCCATAGATTTTACACCTGTTTTACATATGATGTAGCAAATCTTATTAATTTTAGTTTTTGATACTGTTTAGGAAGTCATTGCAATGAATATAAATATATATATAATTGCTATGTTTAATTATTTAGTAATTATATTCTAAAATAAAAAGAGTTAGGCTAATAGAATCTCTCTCTTTCAGCTTTCTTGATTGAAAATATTCCATCAGAACCCAATAAAACACTGGGTATATCAAGTTTACATTTCATATGACAGTTAACCTAATACTGATAACTTCACTCACTCATAAATATTTTGATTTGATCCAATCAAAATATCTTGCATTACTCTTATTGAAAAATAACATGGAAAACTGTATTCTTTCTCAGATGCTGCACAAGTTTTTTGTTACTTGCATCTTTCCATAGAAATTCACTACCTGTTGAATATTTCAGAGTGAAAATTGGAATATTCTTTCACATGTATTAAGGAAAATATCAAGTGTACTGTATTTTAAATAATTTAAATGTCGTAATCACAATTAATATATTGTTAAGTATCTGCTTGATTGTTACTTTCCGAGGAACTTCAGCGATACAAGTCCCTTTTTGATTAAACCAGTTTATTTTTTCTTGATACAAGCTTTGTAGTAAACAGTAATTCCATTGTCACTACGTTTCTCTTCACTTTAAACTTAACAACTTTTAAAATACATGCTATAAGTCACAGCGATTCACAATCTCGATAACTTCACTTTCGATGAGTACAAAACACACACTTTTATCTTATTCCGCTGGCTTTTACTGCCAGGCTTATATACTAAAGAAGGGGTCATCTCGAATACACTCGGGCCTCCCTGATCATTTGAGAAATTCATCACATGTCACCAGCGTCACTTGACTTCCGCTGTCGTAACAATATCAAAATATCTTAACATCCAGATCAAATCCTTTGTTTCCATTCACAGGTTGTTTAATAGTTGTGTTCTTTGTGTAATAGATGCATTTGTGTTACACAATACTTATGACTTTATACATTGTTCAAACATGTGTATGTAAGATCACACACATGTATTTATCTATGTATATTGTAATATACATATACCACCATTACACATGGCCACATACACTAGTAGTTTAACCATAGAATGCCAGTGTGAAGTCAGTATGACCCCATACACGTTAAACCATTATACCGTTCTGACATTCTAGGATTAAAACAGGCACCTCTGATTCCCATGCAGATAACTTCAGTAACATTCTCAGATTACATTATGCAGTGTATGTTTTGATAGTCACAGTGCAGTAAGGTTCTGCCAACTAGGAGCCATTAAACTCAACTCGTTTTATTTTCAGGCATCATGAAATAAATAATATTTAGCAGTACTCAGCTAAACTAAAACTTTCAGCCAAAGCTATCATAAACCAGGATTAATATTTATTCTATTACTACATTGTACAGTGATCATCACATCATAACTTGAAAAACAAGAAATTCCACTTTCTTTCAGTCATTGACTTTTCAACCACATAATCATCCTAGCTGCCTAATTAAGTTTAATCCCAATTATATTGATTGGGAGGCTGTTGGTGATGGTTCAACTGGCTCTTAAAGCTGTCTCTCTCTTCTAGATTCTGCACCACCTCATCTAGTTCATCCTTAATGATTACATAAGTACTCTTAAGCCCATAACTCATTTTGAATGGTAGAGTGGGATAAAACAGAGCTCTTGTCTTCTTCTGACTCCTTGGTCTTGTCTGATTACTGGTAAAGCTAGTTCAAAAAGTTTTGTTGGTAATATATGGAAGCAGTTGGTTGACTTCTATGTGCCTCTAGAGTGCTGTAATTAATATATTAATGGACCAAATTATCAGAGCACAAGATAAGGTGATGTTGTGCTGAAACTGTGCTGCATTCAAGCTGCTGGAATGTACCAAAGTTCTATCCAGTCTCCACTGTGGTGCATCTATTCCTGCACTGCCTTATCATAGCATATTTCATGTCAGAAAGCGACCTTTTTAAGTTGTTTTCATGCAATCATCACTGGTGTCAGTATGTAGTAAGAACTCACATCTGGAAAAGGATTTGTAGGTTCTCAGCGACAAACTTGAATGTATAACCTAACAGTGAGACATTATTGGCATAGATCAACCACTTCTCCCATTGTAGTATCTTCATTATAAGCTCTATTAGCCTCTGGAAAGAGGCAGGTGTTTTATACAGACTGAATGGCATGATGAAAATCTCATACAAGCCATTTTTCCTGCTGAAAATAGTCTTTGGTGTTCTCTTATCATTCATCTTGACTTGCCACAACTGTGGTTAGAGACTAATACATTTTTTTCTGTGAGTAATACCTTCTAGACATAGTCAGAGAGTCACCTCTTCATTTATGCCTGGTTTATCTCCATTCACTAGAATGATCTTTGTATTGACTGGCTTAAGTGGTGATTTTTCTTGGACTGTGTAATACACAGCAAGATCTCCCAGGGTACTGACCATTCCTTTATAATCCAGGAACTCTATCTCTCACCTTTGTAATCTGATAGGTATATACCAAGACCCATTCAGTCTGAAGAAAGCTGAGATGAAAACCAAACCTTTTGCTGCAAGTTGTCCATTGCACTTCTCCAAGTAGGTGGCCAGCTAATACTTATGCTCATTTCATTTTCTGTAGCTGTAGTGGCATTGTTCACCATCTGTTGTTGGCTATGCTTCACCTATTGAGCCTTTGGCTAAAATCTAATGACTTCTCTATCTTGCTGCTTGGCAAGGTACGTGGTTCATTGAAGGTAACCCAAACGTTCACAAGTAAAGCAAACATTTTGTTTCTCTCTTCTATGTTGGAGAATGTAAACTATGAGAGTACCAGGATAGCCCTCACTATTTGCTGGATACTAGTGTGATTGCATTGCAGTGTTGCTGGGATCTGTAGTTGGCTGGTTAACCTTCGACTGAGCTCAAGTTTGGTGTGACACGGGCACCTGGATAGGATGGTTTGTTGAAGCTAAAGCCATGCATATGCTGCTGCAGATTATTTCCCTATTTGTGACCCTTTGAAGTTACCACTTTGTACATCAAAGCCATAGCAGGGTAAGTCTTACCATGCAAATAACACAGATTATCTGTATAAGTAGCCAAGCTCTTGTGGTACCCTTCTTCTGAGCCTTGAATTTGGCCTGAAGGATTGGTCAGTTTTCCACTGTGTCAAGCTTTTAGTGCATCTCAGCAATGAATGTCTCACAGTTCCAAGGTTATCCCTCACTCTAGTGCTTGATGGAGTCTAGAACCAGACCATCTAGATTCAAGATAAGGCCTTGTATAACCTGCTCTGGAGATCAGCTGTTTCAATCAGTTTCCTGTCTGGAACCCTTCAAAAACTGGTCCAGATATTCTTCTGCTGCATCCTTTAATGTCAGGGGAGTGATATCTTTTGCCTTGCTCATGGATATGCATGGTTGTGGCCAGAACTCATCTTCTCACATGACCTCTTGGCCACCATCTGACCAAGATATCCTTGACATTACTAATACAGCATGGTAACCATGTTTAGGGACATTAACTCTTGTGTGAGTATAAAAGGAACTATAAAAACAGTGATAGTGGTAATGACATTGTTCTTAATATATAACAATGATAGAGGTAATGACACTGTATTGTGAATATAAAACAGTAATGGAGGTAATGGCATCATATTCTGAATATGAAACAATGATAGAGGTAATGACACTGTATTCTAAGTATAAGAACTGTAGAAATAAAAACATTGTACAAAACAGTGAATGGCTCCTTTCAACAACTGGCATAACCAACAAAAAAGTGTGCATCCAATCACAATTTCTGTACCATGTTATACTACCAGTGAATTTGATGAGCTTGTTGCCTTTATGTTCCCAGCAAAATATAACAATATCATAAACTGAGCAAAACACAGTCAACTGGAATGTCAGCAATTTTTTACCATTGTGACCATGCAAGATAAAATGTGAGCAACACAGGTCTGCATTTTGGTACAAAAAAATTTCCTATGTGATCAGGCCCTTACATTGCATAAGACTAATTTGTACTCACTCAGAGTATTATGTGGAGCTGTTCAACATGCTTAATATTATTTGTGCAAATATGCAACAGGATA